GGGCTGATGGTGTTAATTTAAGTTTGAGTGAAGAGAAAGAGGAAGAGAATAATAAACAAGTGAACAATAAAAATCAAGGAAGAGAATTGTTGAGACGTGCAAGTTTATTACATGATGAATTTTATGTCGTGAATAAAGCTGAAAATTAACCAGGAACAATCACGTGATGTTCAAATGTATGATTAGCGAATCTTCCTTTTTCATGCACAGACAATTAATTACATTAAATAAAGATTACATTAAATAAATTATGTTTTTGAAATTTTGTTTTTTTAATAATTTATCTCAAATAAGAAACCCAAAAAAAAAAAAAAAAAAAAAAAAAAAAAAATTATCATCCGCTGTATTTAACTAAAATAAATAAATAATAAAAAGAAACTTAGTTGTTTTTAACTTTTTTTTTTTTAAAAAAAAAAAAAAAAGGAAAAAAAAAATGAATCCAAGAAATATTTATATATATATATAAAAAGAAAAAAGAAAAAGAAAAAATGCTCTTATTTAACGGGAAGAATAAAATAAAAAACCCCCAAAAAGTATATATATAAAATAAAAAAAAAAGATCCGACATGCGCTTCATTTCTTTTTTTTTTCGCTTAAAATTGAATTGAAAAAAAAAAAATAAAAATACCAATAATACCATAGGTGCTTAAGTTTGAAAGCATGTCATAAAATAAAAAGTGTCTTAAAAGAAGAATATTTAAAAGGAATAAAGGCAGTGTATGTAAAGTCTGCTTAGATGGTAGTAAGCAACAAAAAAAAACGCAGGGTTTATACAATGGAGATAATATGTAAATATGTATATTATATAATAAAGACAAATAAAACTTATTCACCATGAACAAAAGTCTTTGAAATTATTCAGTATATTTTGGGAGCTATACATATTTATATTTGTTCACATCAAGCGAACTTATCCCATTAAAATACTCTAATAAGATCAAGAATTTTATTCACAGTATTATGTCCAACCAACCAACCATATAACCTGAAATTTCTTTAACCATTGAAATGCTAGCACTTCTTTGGTTCTTCACATGAAGATTTTTTAGCATTTGATGCAAAAAAAAAAAGAAAAAAAACATGATAGAATCTTGTTCCCAATTTCTCCACGACGCCTCACTACACCTCTTATATAATGCGTGCAATAAAAAAATTAGTAATAAAATACAAGCAAAGTGTATATATAATTGGGAGTGATGTA